TGAGACATGCTAAGAGGCCGAATGACTGCAAGAAAACAGGCAAGGATTTAGATTCACAACAGCAGAAGATCGTTCATTCAGTAATACTCATTGTAGATATTGGTTATAGCCAGACCAGACTTGCGATTGAGACATTTCATTCATTTTCAATGTATGCAGACGGACTGAATAACACGAGACGGTCGTGATAATATCAGCCATGTATGAAGCAGATATACGCCACACACAGAAGCTGGTACTTGTGTGGCTGCTGCGTTGCAATCAGAGCAAACCTCAAGACGGGTTTGTTTCTGTGATTGTTCATCTCATTTGAACATCAAGTCTGATTCCAACATCGAGCTGTAAGCGTGTGCAGTGACCTTCATACATGATCCACAATGCACATTCAGCTGCTTTAAATGACCCGCCGTTTACGTCCATCTCAAGGAGTAAATGCACGTACAGCACTGTAGGCGTGTGTGTGTTAAAGTCTCACCAAATCGACTTCTACGGATCATATCGGGCGACACGGGCCTCAGCTTCCTCTCGGATTTGATCTCCTCCAGAATGCGCTCATGTAGGCTGGGAGGACGTTCGGCCTGCGGTTTGAGTTTACGCGCCGCCACCTGAAATCACACGCACATATCATGGAGTATTTTAGAAAGAGTTGCATGAGTAAATTTAATTTACCTTGTCACAAGAATCATGCACTGCAGACAGCACATGCAAATCAGTCTCGGTGTGTGTATGAAGTGAATAAGCAGCACTCACGGGGTTGAGGGGGGGTCTGGACCTGATAAACTCCAGTATGACCTCGTGAGCGCTCTTCTTTAACCTGGGAGGAATATCTCCATTCACCTGAGACAGAAAGAGACCGACAGAGATCTGAACACACACACACACATGCACCTACACTGTTTTAAATCATAGAGACTGTAAAAATACTACTTTAAGAACAGCAAGTTCCCTTATTATATATGGTGAAAAACTGTAATAGCTGTAATTTTACATAAAATATTGTTAAATGTACAGATTTTGGGAAAAAAAAACAAACAGTCGTCTTATAATTTACAGTGAAAAACCGTAAACTGACATTCCCATATTTCTCTGTGTGACACTGTTGTTAAAATAATCATGCTTCCCTTTAGTTTTTGTTATTATGTGCATTTATGTTTAATCTTATGTTGTTTAATTAATGTTTATTGAATTATTTTAGTGTCATGTGTGTTACCATGATGGTGTTTTATATATTAGCATTTACTTCAGCTTGTGGAAAGATTACTTGTGATGAACTAATTCATCACGTGGCTCTTTTCCCCATCTGTATTATTACAGTGGTCATCAGTATATTATACAGGTACAAAATAGATTTTATTACTTTAGATTAATAAAATTAATGAAATATATAGTTGTTGTTGTTTATTTTTTACCGCAAATTTTATTTAAACCCGCAATGCCGCAGCCGTATTTTACCTCAGATTTCACAGGTTTATTTTTTACAGTGTAGCACAGACTCATTTTGGGTGTAAACATCATTAATCCTCTTATAATTGCAGCCACTGTCTATTAATATAATTTAGATATAGTTTATGTCATGAACAGGCAATAGATATTTAGCAATTAATATTTGTTTCGAATGCAACTTCTGGAAATGTTTATTAGATCTTTGATAATTAAGTTAATGTGTAGTTTGCATGCCTCATACTGTCATGTGTTTGTTTCTGTTTGGTTCCTGTTTGCCCCTATTTGGTTCAGTTCCTGTTCTCATTTAGT